AAGATAATATAGTCTATTGTCTCTTTCCTCATTTTTCGTCTTACCCTTTTTCTACCATCACACTATTATAATACTATACTCTATCGACGTAGTTCTAACTCAATTATGCGTATTCTGTTGTAAATATCTTATATTCTTATGTCAGCAAAACTAAATGCTGCGTTGGCATCTTGTTTTCCCACGTGGTGTTCACAAAACTATACAACAGGTATCTCACATTGCGTATTGGTCTGAAATTGAACAAGAAAAAATGAAAAAATATAATAATATTCAGTCCAATCTAAAAGAATAAATATAACAATAGTTAATAGTCTATTGGTTTAAAGGTGATTGATATTGAACCACTTGCTTAGTTTGACCATGATACTATATAAGGTCAAATTCAAAACTTGACATATTTTTAGTATGTGATTTGGAAAATGAATATTTTGTATTCTTCGTTTTGTTTTTTGTTTACACACGGTTTGGCCAAATTAATCAAAACATTGTTTTCTCTTGATGTTACTAGTCGAGTTCAAATTGGTTGCAAGTTGCTAAAGGTCAGTTCTGGCCTGACTTTAACTAAGCTTTAAGGCTAATTTTTCTATTATAACATTTGAGAACATCAATTTGATTTGTCCAAAAGATGATACAAACTTCAATTTGCCACATCTTTTCTTTTTATCTCACCTAAAATAGAAACGTGTATTTATATAAAAGTAGAGACAATATATATTTTGTAAGTGTTGGTGAGCAAATGTAGCTTAAATTTTTAAAAATGGATGTTGAATATTAATTATATAAGTATGATGATATATAAATTTAATATTTTAAATTTTTAAATGAATATGTGAAGTTAAAATCTCTTTGACGATGTTCTTAGTTAATATAATGATCACAAGTTTCTTTTATGATCCAATAATGGTATACAATGGTTATCGATATGGGACTTACTCATTGGTTAGAAAGTTCTTATAATAATAAGATGGTTAGGTGACACATCTTGTTAATGGAAGAACAACAACAACGATGCAAATGTACTTAGATAAAAGAATTTCTATGTAAGGGAAAACATATTTATATGAATGAATGAACTTTTACTTGAAGACAAATTTGTTAGTATGCAAATGAGATTTAGACGTGTTGAAATACTGTGAATTGATGTTGTTAAGAACAAATTAAAAGTTAAGTTTGCACCGTTTATTAACGAGTTGGCGGATTGGTGGGCCGACCTACTAATTTTTTTCTTACAATTTGATTTATTATATAATCTACAAAAATTTTAATCATTATAAAAGAGACAAACAAATTTTAACAATGTATAGTAAAACTTTAAAAAGTCTTAATGCAAATGTCATATTCTTCAACGTAAACAAAAAAAACATAACTATAATATCAAAAACTTAAAAACAAACACACTAAAACTCCAAAAATTAAAACTTTATTATCATAATCAGAAACAAACTCCTCTGTGCAAAACTTACCTTATAACTGTAGAACTCGACTCCAATGATAACAAGTAATAGAAAATAAATTGGAATGTATTATCTATGTTTTGCAATAAGGATTTTTTCTACTATGAATGAAAATAAAGAACGAAACAGAAACCAATTGGTGTCTTTAAAATGAGATGTTTGTGGTTATATGAAAAATGAATATTAGGGTTAAGAGAAATGATGATTGTTTTGTAAGTTCAGAGTATGCCTAAGAGGGGGTGAATTAGGCTTTAGAAACTTTTTCCGGTTTTTCGAGATTCTTGAATTTTACTTGGTTATGTTCTTGATGATGAAAGCAGTAAAAAGCAGAATAAAAATGAACGCAGAGATTTATAGTGGTTCCCTTCACAATCCGAAGGTACTCCACTCCCCTTTCCACATGAAAGAGATTTTTCACTATAGTTTTAGAATGTACAACCTATCACACCATCAACGGGTGAGACCTACTATCTAACAACTATTCAACAACTAGTGTGCAAGAACAATCCTCTTGTAAGCACTAACCCTTGTGTCCAACAATCCTGGATCACAAGTCACAATAGAAATAATTTTGTAATTCTTTGATTTGAGAGTGATATAATAATATCAATACAATGATTGATCTTCTCCTTTTGATCAAAATTCACTTTTCAATATTAATACAAGTGTTCAAAAATTCTGGATATGAAATGGTATGAACAGTAGGAACAATTTTTGAAATATTTGAAAATATTTGAAAAATAGTGAATTTTATTGAATGATCATTTTGAAAATTATTGGAGGTTATTTTTCAATTTGAAATTTCCAGAATTTATATGAGTCAAAACACTATTTCAAAAAGGTACAAATGTGTAAGAATCAAATAATGAAAAGGTATAACATTCAAACAAAATTTGAATTTTAAAAGAAACAATTTTTCAAAATTCGTTCAGTGTTAATCGGTTAACCATATAGGTTAATCGGTTAACACTGTAACGTTAGCCCTGAGAATTTAAAAATTGAGACCGTTAACCGGTTAACCTATATGGTTAATTGGTTAACACCGTTAAAACTCAGAAAAATACTTGAGTTAAAAAGTGTTATACCAATCCAAATCATTTTAAAAATATGCAAATGCAAAATGTTGATATGATAAATTATTTGAACACTTGTATATCAATTAAAGGAGTGAATATTGATATATCAAAGTCTTGTGTCCAAGTCTTGAAATTTGTACGATCATTTGCACATGAAGCTTGATTTGCATGACAATATTCCATTGATGATGCATAGCCTTGATCTTGATAATGTATTCTTGATGATATGCTTGCACCTCTTGCTTTTTGTGAAGAGTTCAGAAAGAGAAGCTTCTGGTTTTATCTTCCGTGTATATACCCCCACGGGTATATAGTGCAAGCAGCTTCTTAGTACATATACCCCAACGGGTATATAGTGTAAGTATCTTGATCAATTTGAAAGCTTGACTTTTTGCAAACATGGAATGAACTTAAATCTTGTTGACATCATCAAAACCTTGAGAATGAAGTATGTTTCCACATGTTTTAATAGTATGTCTAATACGTACCATATTAATATTGTTTTAATCCCAACTAAAAATAATAATTTTTTTAAATAAAAGGCCCGTAGGTAAAATCCGTCCCGCCCTGCACTCAGTCCGTTTTAAAAGTGAGTTAGGCGGGACGGGACAACTTAATACGCCGAACCAAAAACCTCACCCCAATCTGCCAAAAGCGATGAGTTAAATGGGCTCACTCAGCACACCCACCCATTTTACCACCCCTATTAATAATGGTTATTATTGTTAGAATGAGAAGTAAATTTATCACATCATTACTACTTTAACATCTATTTATAAATCAACATTACTTTTGTTTTCATATTATTTTAATGAATAATTCAAAAAATCACGATTATACACGGTTAAATTATGGGTTAAAATTAAAATTCTTTCTTTTCTAGTTACAATTTTTACTATTGTTTAACTATAAATTATCAAGGAATTGTTTATATAATATGATTATTTTTAAATCCTTCCTGTAAAAAACAAAAACTACAGATGTTATGAATAAAATCTCTCAAAAATGATAAAATCAATAAAATATTTAAAAAGTTGAATACACAACTTTTAAATGAATATTCTTTTTCTTAGATTATCGATTTTGCTCTAACTTAAAATGTTAAATTTCACATAATATTTCTTAATTGTAAACTATCAATAAAATTTATTAAAACATTTCAATATCTTTATTTTTTTTAATTCCTTTATGTAAAAACCACAAACTACATTTATTGTAGATAAAATTTCTCAAAGATAATAAAATCGATAAAATATTTAAAAAATAAAATACAAAAATTTTAAGTTAACATTTTTCTATTTAATTAATTCTCAATTTACTCTAGTACATACTATTGCTTAATTGTGCTATCAAGTTACATTTATAAATATTTCTATGATCTAATTATTTTTTAATTTCTTTCCACTAAAACCGCAAACTAGTATATGATATAGATAAACTATATCAAAAGAAAGAAATCAATAAAATATTAAAAAAATTGAGTACACAAATTTTAATTAATATTATTCTATTTAATTATTGATTTTACTCTAATTTTAAAAGTAAAATTCCACGCTTAATGATATATTATCAAGATAATCTTTTAAAATTATTTTTATTATTTAATTATAATTTACATTCTTTTCAATAAAAAATTCAATATAAAAAAATATATAACATCTAATATAAAATTATTAATTTATCAAATCATTTAAATAATTTTATAGTATTAACATGATTTAAAAGGATATATATTGTTCACTGAATTATATATAAAATTACTTATGACACGTATTTTCTCTTATCTAAAAGCCACAAACCATATATTATTATGGGTAAAAGGTCTCAAAAATTATAAAATCATTATATATATATATATATATACACAAATTTTAAAATTTTCTGAAGTTAAAAATCAATTTTGTCCTAATATAAAAAATAAAACCTCACACAATTACCGCTTAATTGTTAACTATAAGATAATGTAGCAAAATAAAGTACTAATGGCAAGGAATCTAATTTAATTTCCATTATTACCATATATTATTGCTTTAAAAATAAAAAAAAAATAGCATTTACTAAATAATATTTATTTATTATTTATAATTTTTTTCTTATAACATTGACTCACATAGCCGTCAAAGAAGAAAAAACAATAGAGAAAGTATATTTCAAAAAGTAAATATAGAAATTTCAAAAAATAATAAAAAATGCAAAAAGTAAATATAGAAATTTCAAAAAATAATAAAAAATAAAAAGTGAAAAGCAACGTGGGGTGATATGATTGGTGACTACAAATACATGCACATGATGAGCGATATCATAGTCAAACATAAACCCATCACATACACTTATCCAAACTTTATAAATAACCCTTCATTCTTCTAACTTTCTTCATTTCTATTTCTCTCTCTTTTTCTTACTCCACCATTGCATGTCAATACTCATTTACATCAACATTTAACTAACTTCAATTTTCGTTTTCTAAGCTATGGCCGGAGGAGGTTTCGCCACCAGTGCAGGCGGCGGTGAATTCGAAGCAAAGATAACTCCGATTGTTATTATTTCATGTATCATGGCTGCCACCGGTGGTCTCATGTTCGGTTACGACGTCGGTGTTTCAGGTTTTTTTTTATCCTTTATCATTATTTTTTTGTTTCGTTAATCCTTATAATGAAGAGGTGGATGATGATAATTATTTATTTTCTACCGGAACAAACACCGTCAAGGGTATTTTCGAGATTTCCCTGTTTACTACCTGAAGTTCAATTATCAAACGCCATTCTCCATCACCAATTTATCTTGTTTGTTTTTATAAAATGAATAAAACTAATTTAAATTAATTTGTTTGTGTGATAATAGGTGGTGTGACATCTATGCCACCATTTTTGAAGAAATTCTTTCCTGCTGTATACAAAAAGACAGTGTTAGAGAAAGAGATAAACAGTAACTACTGCAAATATGACAACCAGGGACTTCAACTTTTTACATCGTCCTTGTATTTAGCCGGTTTAACATCAACTTTCTTCGCTTCCTATACAACTAGGACTTTGGGAAGAAGACTCACCATGTTGATTGCTGGTATTTTCTTCATTGGCGGTGTTATCTTCAATGCCGCTGCTCAAAATCTTGCCATGCTTATCGTTGGAAGAATCTTACTTGGTTGTGGTGTTGGTTTTGCTAATCAGGTTGAACACTTAATCTTAATTAATCCATTAATATCAATAATCACAGAGATTACAGAAAATATTGCCGACATATCATATCATATGAAATTATATATATTTAAATAGTACATATATTGTATGATAAAATGATAAAATTAATAATGTTTGGCACTTCCAAAGTCTTTCTATGCCATCTATTTTCCAAATATCTATGATACTTTGATAGAGACACTTTTGTTTTTTTAATCTGGATTTTTATATGATTATTTTAGATTCTTTTTCTGACAATGAAAGAGATATTCTGAATCAGAGCTCAATTTCTTTGAATCTTCCAAACTTTCAGATCTGTTTTTCTTATTTGAATTTTTTTTTTTTTTAATACTTTAGAATATAGGAGTTCTGTAGTTTCGTACCATATATCACTGGTGTTGCGTGGACCTTTATTTTGATTCCTTTCGAACACAACAACTAATACAGCTATGAATTAATTTTATAGTTAATAAGTGTATGAATGATGACATCATGATTCATTAAAATACTTTTATTTTGTGATTTTATGTATCACTAAATATTATTTTATTTAATTTTGATTACAGGCTGTGCCAGTGTTTCTATCAGAAATTGCTCCTTCAAGAATACGTGGTGCTTTGAATATACTTTTCCAACTTAATGTCACTATTGGCATTTTGTTTGCTAATCTGGTTAATTATGGCACCAACAAGTAAGTACTATGTTATGTGTGCTGTTTCATTTTTATGTATTTATTTCAATGAAAGCGATGAAGATGATTTATGAGTATTAATCACAAGTCATTGTCACATTTGCCATTTTTTGTCTATTTCTATGACTTTCATCACCACAAATTATTAAAAAGTCTATCACGTGTTTGTTAATTTCTTTGAAATTTGTTAGTATCTGATAAAAACATGACAAGTGTCTTAATCCATTTTTATATAACTTACATTTGACAATTATTCGTTATTATGACAATACAGAATCAAAGGTGGTTGGGGATGGAGACTATCTCTTGGTTTGGCCGGGATCCCGGCACTTCTCCTAACGGTTGGCGCCCTCTTGGTTGTAGACACTCCCAACAGTCTCATCGAGCGCGGTCGCTTGGATGAAGGAAAAGCTGTACTCAAAAAGATTCGTGGTACTGATAATGTTGAGCCAGAGTTCTTAGAACTTGTCGAGGCAAGTCGCGTGGCTAAAGAGGTTAAACACCCTTTTAGGAACCTTCTCAAGCGCAGGAACCGTCCTCAACTCGTCATTTCTATCGCCTTGCAAGTAAGTACTATATATGATCATGTTCTGTCACATTGAAAACAATGTTGTCAATCGTAGATAGCAGAAAATATAGTATTATGAAAATTCGTGCTATAGCGTTGTTATAGCTGCTATTTAACAAAACTAATTAATTTTTGTTGAATTAAAAACAGATATTCCAACAATTCACTGGCATCAACGCGATCATGTTTTACGCACCAGTGTTATTCAACACATTAGGATTTAAGAATGATGCTTCACTCTATTCTGCGGTGATAACCGGAGCTGTCAATGTCCTCTCTACAATTGTGTCTATTTACACAGTCGACAAACTTGGTCGTCGCATGTTGCTATTAGAAGCCGGTGTACAAATGTTCTTCTCACAATTGGTAATCGCAATCCTTCTCGGAATCAAAGTAACTGATCATTCCTCAGATCTTTCAAAAGGCTATGCAATCTTTGTTGTCATCATGGTATGCACATTTGTTTCTGCTTTTGCTTGGTCTTGGGGTCCACTTGGTTGGCTTATACCAAGTGAGACATTTCCATTGGAGACACGTTCAGCCGGACAAAGTGTAACCGTATGTGTCAACTTGCTTTTCACCTTTGTAATTGCTCAAGCTTTTCTCTCCATGTTGTGCCATTTCAAGTTTGGTATATTCTTGTTCTTCTCTAGCTGGGTTTTGGTTATGTCTGGTTTTGTGTTTTTCTTGGTGCCTGAGACAAAGAACATACCAATTGAAGAAATGACAGAGAGAGTGTGGAAGCAGCATTGGTTTTGGAAGAAGTTTATTGAAGATGATTATGATAATGTGGATTATGCTAAGAATAAAAGTAATGGATATGATTCTCAGTTGTAAATGGATGGAATCAGGAAAATAACAAATGAGTATTTTTAGTCTCTAGAGAATACTTAATACTTATATATTACGAGCAAGTTATTTTAAGTGAGACATTGTAATCAGAAATCAAGTATCCTGTTTTGTAAGCATAATAAGCTATATACAGGAATCCTCTGTTAGGTTTTTATAGAAAAGTTTCAGAATTTTTGTGTATGGAAGAAATAATATGGATTCTTTTGCACCTTACATAAGGCTATAATGCGAGGTTATGTTCTACGAATCTATGCTATATTTTGTTGTTTTACTTTGGATAGTTGGTTTTGTCCGTGTCAACCAAAGAATTATGTCTTCAACAAACTATACTCGTGATGTACGTTGTTTCATCTAATTCAATTTGGAAAACTATTTTTTTTTTTAAATCAAAACTTGAAAATAAAGATAAAAATTTGAAATGTTGGATCAATCCACACACATGTTGTATTTGACTAACACAACTATGTCGAATACAACTTTTCTAAAACCATGAATTATATCTTCTAACACCTCGTAGTTCATGTTTTTGAGGCTTCTCATTCTAATGTTTCTTTTGAACTCATTAAGACGCCCACCCAACGAAGAACCATATACCACACAAAAGACGTGACATGACACATAGCAAATATATGATTCTCTGACTCGACTTTCCCCAAACACACACTACACCCCACTACCTTCCTAAATAAAATGACGCCTACAAAGATTGACCTTACCAGACAGCCTATCTTGCAAAAGCAACCAAGAAAAAACAACAGCTTTAAAAGGTGTTCGAAATTTCCAACAACTAACAAGCACATGGATAACTCGACCATGCAAACTCTCTTCTCCCGTCACAGAAGAGGACAAAAAATCGCGAGTCAGTCGAACCAAGAACCCATCCTTGGGATCTAGTGTCCACACCCGAACATCATTCTTATCCTGCTTAACCCCTCATCCATAGAACTAATCAGACCATCCAGAAGGTCTTCCTCCCATACGAGCAAGCTCCGTCTAGACCAAAACTCCTAATTCCACCTACCAAGTGCCCTTTCCTACCCATATCTCGGGCCTTCTACTAAAAAATAAGGAACAATCTTTAAAAGGTCATGCAAATCCGATCCGACCCTAGCCACACATCATGCTAGAATCAGATATTCAACATGTTCTTGATCTACTTATAAATAAAAAACCTAAACCAATATAACGGCTCTGCACCATTGGAGCCAAGGAAATGGACTTCCCTTAACTAGGGAGAGACACTTCTAAGATTCCATTCCTACCACCTTGGAGGGATTTGGCCACCAAGGACCCATACCTCTAAGAAATAATCTCCTTCGAGAAGGCAGAATCAACTTTAAGGAGTTCCCAACGCCACTTGCTAAGAAGGGCCAAAATAACTTGCCTCAACTACTTAATACCTAATCCTCCCAAAATATCAACTTTATACATATCCTCTCACTTGACACACATAATATTGTTCTCATCCTTGGAATTCCCCCAAAGAAAGCATCTCTACAACCAACCAAATTTTTCCAAATTAATAGAGGTATCTTCACAAAAGGTAGAAATAAAAATAGAGATGGAGCTTAGAACCAAAGTTAAGAAAAACATTCTCCTCCAAGGCTTACAAACCTATTCTTATAAGAAGAAAGCCTCTTAGTAACTAATTTCAGCTTATCAGAAAGGATCAATGGTATGCCACGCGTCGTTGGATTGCAACTTTCACCGGAGTTAGGGAGAAAGAGAAGGGGTGTACCTACAAGGCACTCCGATGCTTAAGTGAGTAAAGGATCAGAGTGGGAGAACAAATACAGAGAAGTAGGTGTAGAGAACAAGATACCTGACCCTCTAGTGAAATAGGGTATTTATAGAGAGACCCCAGCGCAGGGCCAATGGTTACATGCATTGGGCTAGGCTGCCAGACCCAACCCAAGTAACTGCTAGGACTTACGTGGTGTAGTGAAGACCAACACATGGTTTTCGCCCTAGATCAATTGCCATGTGATCCTCGGAAGGTGGGCTGACCAATTCTTTTGGAAGTGGGTAGTTTCCTGATGACGTGTCCCCGCATGGGGGAGCACGTGGAGAACGTTGGGGAAGTGTGTGGGCCTCCCCGTCAAAGGAGTCACTTGCCCGACATAAGTGCCTTGTTGAGGCTCGTGCCTAACAGGGGGAGTTTGAGTCTCGTTGGGCCTCATCAGCATAGCATTGGGTTGGGCCTACCCGGTTGAGGGATAGGTCTCAGCCCAGTCCAAAATAATAACCAACTTAACCAGAGAATCTCAAGTACCCTCCTTCTTCGGATTAGCACCCACCAGAAACCCTAAGTACTTAAAAGGGGACTATTCACTCTAAAAATAATGCTCTTAGAAAAGTTCACTATGAGCCCTGAAGTCAAATCAAATTTCCTAAGATTACCTTAATCGTCCATAGATTATCCACAAACATTTTCTCAAAGAGAACTGTGTCGTTTGCATATTGAAGGTGAGATACCACTAATCTAGTCGGACCCACTTTGAACCCAGAGAAAAGACCTAAAGCGTCCTCTTAATAGTATTGTTAAGGCTCTCAACCATAAGGAGGAAGAGGAAATGGTCCAAATGACCACCTTTCTTAAGATTCCTATGAATGTTGATTTCCTCGGTTGGACAACCATACACCAAAACAGACAAACTCCTTGAAATAAAACATGCCTTAATCTAGGTAATCCATTTCCTCTAAAAACCAAATCTCCTCAATATGTAATACATAAATAACAAGATAAAAAAGCTATAAGCCTTATTAAAATCCACGTCAAAGATAAAAAAAGTCATACTTTGAGACCTTGGCGAGATTAACCACATCATTTGGAGCCGCCACCCTGTCCGCCAACTTCCTTCCCATAATAAAAGCATATTTCTCCAACACAATTAACTTTCCTATGATCTTTTCCAAACTAGAATTTAAAATTTTCACAACCAACTTATAGAATGATCCCAGAAGAGAAATATGTTTAAACTCTGCCAACTTCATATGGAACTCCAACTTCGAAATCAGCCAATAAAGAATGAAGAAAAACTCCTAAGGAGAATCTCTTTTTCAAAAAACTTATTAAATGTCAAATACACCTCATCTTTGATAAGAGCACATAAATTCTTATAATACTAAATATTAAACCTATATGGTAGAAAGAGAACTTGCTTCCTCTTCTAAAATACTTGAGAAATGGATGACATCAAGATAGAGCATGAATTAAACATTCTCCCTAAAAATGTTTGAAAAGAACTTGGTAACCTTCACTCGAATCGCATCCATATTCTTTAACAAACCATCATTCACCTTAAGAGCCAGAAGACTATTCCCATGGCTCCTCTACTTGATACACAAGTGAAAAAAGACCATGTTAGCATCCCCTTTCTAAGCTACGCTAACCTTAAGCACTGAAAGATAAGAGAATCATGAAACTTTAGAAACTCTTTTAACTCTTAAGATGCTTGAGTCATATCTTTTAACTCTTCTAAAATCAAATCTTCTAGCTCAACTTTAGTCTACCCAATCTCAATCTTATCAATATACTTCTTAATCTTAAAATCTAAAGAGACATACCCCTCTTTATTCCACACCTTAAGTCGGGCTTTGAGAGCTTTAAGATTTACCCTAAGGATGCAAGCCATCCACCCTTCACCTGGAGAACCAACTCAGGAGTCCCTAACCACATCCACAAAACTAGTATTTCCCAACCAAAAATTATTGAACCAAAAAGGCTTGGGTCCTCAAAGCTGAGAGAAGTGCTTAAGCACTAAAGGACAATGTTCAGAGAAATTTCTAGAGAGGTAAAAAACATCCCTGGCCCCACTCATACTCGCAACAAGACGACACAAAGACTTAATCCAACCCACTCATAGACACCCTATTCGAGTGGTACCAAGTGAACTTTCTACCCAATAGGGGCAAATCCACTAACCTTATCTACACAATAATTATCCTAACAAACTCAAAGTTATTTTCCAACCCCAATATCCGAGAGTCTATTATAACTATGTTTCTCTCCCTAGAACTAAGAACCGAATTAAATTCACCCAAAACACACCAGCTCGACCCCTGAAATAGATTCATGGACTAAACTAAACTGATCCACAATATTTTTTTGTCAACTAGAGAGAACCTGGAGTACACATTAACAACTAAACACAACTTATAGTGGAAGTTCTAAAACCCTAACTACAAAAAGAATTCCTTAAGAGAGATTCACAAAATCCATCCTCTATCTCCCCAATTCAACCTCATGAATTGCTAAGAAATCTAATGGGTTAAAATGAATAAGCCCTGTCACTTTCTTTTTTTTATACTCCCTCCTAGACCCCTAGAATTGAAGGACCCTATGATCATTGAAAACCTAATGACTCCTTACCAAACATAGCCAACACATATCTCTCTTTCAACTGAATTATCCTAAACACTTCGAAAAAATCATCTCTCATACAAGAGAAGTCAATTTCCTTAGACATAGCAAAAATCTAAGATGCATCAATCTTAACTAAACTAATTCTAGAATAAAATGATTCACTCAGCATTATAAAATGTACTAGCAATAATTAATTAAAAAAAATTATCTTTTCCACTCAAAAGAAATATAAAACTTCAATTATATATATTTTTTAGTCTCTAAATGCACACGTGTCTAAAACAAATGATAGAATTAAGTATGTATGCATCTGCGAAATTTGTTGGAACTTTGTACCATAATATTAGTGAACAATGGTGGAGAGAATTGGAATGTGGGGAGCAAAAGAATGAAATTAAGAGAGAGAGAGAGAGAGAGAGAGAGAGAGAGAGAGAGAGAGAGAGAGAGAGAGAGAGAGAGAGAGAGAGAGAAAGAGATAATTTAAGGTGAGAATCAATATTGAATTCTACTTGGAGGGTAATGCATCGAACACATTTGTACAAGTGTCACAAACTGATTGGGATCCAAAGCAAATAATTACGTAATAGAAAAATTGCAAAACTCGGGCCAGTAACCAGTT